CGCCCCCCCCCCCCCCCCCCCCCCCCCCCCCCCCCCCCCCCCCCCCTCTGGGCCTAAAGGGTATTATCAGAGTATGTACTCTATGTAGTAAGCAAAAAAACACAGCATCAACAGATTTCTAATGAAGCCAGTTGATAGCCGACTATAAAGAGAATATAAGTACAGAGGATAATTAGAGGGAGCACTACAGAGAGAGATCGAGGGTGCTGCTGATGACCTTGATCTGACTTTGAGAAATGCCTGTGGAATACTAAGTACCTCGGCAGCCGACCTAAAAGCTCTCGCTTGCTCACTCCCTCCCACTTTCTCCCTGACTCATCCTTCTACTTCTTCACAGCTCCTGCAGTCCATTTCCCTGGTTTCAGCACGATTACCATAATGATTTCTCTCACATTCTTTCATCCTGATTGGATGTCAGAGCAGTGAACATACAGATAACACACACGTCTCGGCTACGTGAATGGCTTACTTGACTCTCTCTTTGGAGTCTCCAAAAGTCTCTTTGAGGTTGGCGAGTTCGGGGTAATAGGCAGCCGGCGGGGAGATCACCTCCAGCAAGCCTGAACTCAGCTCCGTAGAAAACCTGAAGAAAGATGGTCATGTTGATATGGTGAAACACACAAACACACACTTCACTCTCACTCCGTCACGATGGGCCTCAACCACTAATACGTGTGTAGAAATGTTCTTAATATGCGCTCAAAGACGTGCTTGTATATCTTCCAGTGAGGCTACATATGCCATGTTAACACCTGCTTGGAGGTAAATTGCAATCATGTACAGTATATTCCCTGCGTGCCTGTTATTAACCGGCTACCAATTAACCAGTTGGCTACCAATTAACATTGGCTACATTTGCGCAAATTCGTGGCACTAGAAATTGGTGGGAGTAGCAGATCATTATAGACCATGTCAATAAAAACAATGAAAACCAAAACTGTCACATTTCTCATATGCTCCTTTGTAAGCTGGGACTGAGACACTCAGTTTTAATTGTGACAATAACTGAGGAGGATGAATGGACGTCAACATGATGGTTATTTTATACAGTTGTCCAACGCATTAGTAAGTTAACGGTTTTAAATATTGTTGTTTATCCAAGCCCCTTTTAACTAATGCAGTTTTAAAATGTCATGCATTTAGTTAAACGGTGTGAAGCAAGCTTGTACATAAACTACGAACAAATTTGGGTAAAAAATGATTAATGGATCCGCACGGGATGAACGCACAGATCTGTGCGTCGGCACTGTTGAGGCCCAATATTTCCACCTTTCTGTGCGTCTGTCAGGAAGCAGAGGTGTGTACTCACTCTTTCTCCAAGACAGCTACCACGCTGTGAACGTATTCCACGTCAGTCTGCGGAAACAAAACAAGGACAACACATTAGACACGCAGACCCTTTTCGCACCCTTTTCTTTGTGCAGAAGCATCATTCTATGACTCATGCTGTACAAATATGAGATCTCACCTCCCCAACGTAGACAATAATGACGCAGTCGAGTTTCTCCTCTGGTGACAGCTTGTCTATTAGCGACCGCAGCGTCTCTGACAGATATGACTTCACCTTCCGCTTCACTGTGGGGATCCCCATCACCATGGTAACTGAGGGAAAAAAAGGTCTGAGGTCAGAACAGGAAGGCTGCAGAGGTGGAACCAAAACCAAATCATCTTTACCCGTTAGACAATGTCTAACTACATTAGCCAAACACTCACAAGAACAGCAATTCATGCCGTACGTCTGATAGTTTGGAATCTGCACTAACATGGTGCATGTTTAAAGAAGTGTCTTTAAACTACAATCGTACACCACGTAAGCTAAATAGAGTCACTGAATAAACCACTAAAAGCCAATCATGTTTGGACTTTAGATCTAGAGATCCGCAATGCATCGCTAAATTAATTTATGAGCTTGTTCTACCAGCAAAGTAAACAAAGCCAGACGAGCAACAGCAACTAGAAGAAGACACTGGAGAGCAGATCTTTTCAGAGAGGGTCGGACAACTCTGACTGTAATTATCTATAAAAAAAACTATCAAAAGTTATTACATTGTGTTACACTGTGAGAAGCTGGAAAAGGCGGATGTTTAATTACTTGATACCAAGCAGTTAATCAGTCAATTAATCAACCGAAACCATCATTCATTCTTTTGTCGATTAATCCGACTGTCAGCAAAACCAACTGATCTCATATATGAAGCTGATGAGACAACTTCAGTAAGAGGAAAAGAGAGTGGCTATTGTCATCAAGTGGTTGAGGGAAACACAACAGACTGTTGCAGACATAAAATGAGTTCATTCTACTCACTAGGATACAAGGATCACTTTCACCAGGGAAAGATGGCGTGAGGGAACGAGAGAGAGCAGAGTAAGTTGGCACCGGTGCGACAGAACCATATTCTGAATGAAACAGTGTTTTCTTCAAGCTAATGAAAATAAATCAAAATAGCAGCATGACATTGACTACCAGCCTGTGTGCTTTCTTTGTCATGTTTAGCTTTCTCTTCCTATATGTGTGCTATACTACTTTACTGCATTCGAAACAGAGGGCGGTTTTGCATAATGTTTTACATAAAATGTGCAGTACTTTTTAAGAGGAGGTTACAGAGTTCTTGCTCTATAGCAAGTTAAAGTTGTGAAGTTCATGAACCCGGGGGCTAATGCGGGCATGTGCAAGTTTAAAAAGGGGGGGGATGTTGACTGAGCTGATGTGGGGGCACAAACTTGAGGTGCAGAATGAGCGAGTGGCACAGTGGACTCGGGAAAGGGCGCAGAGGGATCTGTGCAGCGTGGAGAATCTGTCCCAGTTTTGCTTTGTGTTTCTCGCACTAAGCTCCGTGTCGTATAGCGAGCGACACCCACCACCACCGCCACTGAGAAAGTAGGTCGAGGATGAAAGGAGTGTGTGGGAGGAAGGAAAAGAGACAGACTGACAGAATAAGGGAAGGTGGCAGACAGTGAATGAGTGGTAATGCATGAGAGTGCAGCGGGAGAAGGACCGACTCCAACACTGCCCCTCCCCGTGTCCCTTGATCAGCCTGGACGCTTCACTCTGCCATTCCTTTTATGTCCTTCAGAGGAAAACAACAATCTACATGTCTGCTCTCTTCTCTGTCACATCAGTGAAAAGAGCTGATCTGGCACGCGATACACGTAAAGGAGCTACGTTTGTGATATCCAGAAAATTGACGCTTGATCGTTGTTGATGTTTTCCCCGATTAGTGACCAAAGCTAAACATTATTTAGGGTTACAGTTAGTGACACTACTAGATCATTGCTTACAGTGGGATTAATGATGTAAGCGTATGTGCTCAAGCAAATAACACGCACTTTGAAAAATCCCATAATTAACCAATTAAACTTATTAAAGATAATGATGTACGAGTAGCCTGCATGTTAATGAAAAATTAAAAAAAATATTACAAATGTGTTACATTTAGAGAGCACACATGTATATAGATTATTCTTATTCGAGAAAAAAAGAAACTATATCCATCAACTTGGTGTTGGAGTTTTTCATTTGGTTTGAATCTGTTTTTTTTACATATTTGATAACCTTGTTTGTATTTATACAGTAACATGCGTTTGCTTTTGATATTACATTAACTAACTAAAACTGAAGCAGTTCCTTTTTAATTATCAATTTTAAAAAAAAGGCACAATGTGGGATTTTCCTAACAAACGGTGTATAAAGAATCATACAGAAGTATGACTCCATCATCACGTATGACAGAACAGAAGTCTGTATTTACAGACAACCTGCCCTCTGCCTGCATTTTCTCTTTTCTTATTATTTTGCTGTGCTGCCCCTCGCTCTGCCTCTGCCTCTAGCTGACACGGTATCGGCGTCGTCTGAGTCGGAAGTTCGGGAAGCTCTGCTAGATTCTCCTGTCTGGACACAAATAGCCTACTCTGTCCATTAGCTAGCTAGACTTAAGATCGCTAAAACTCTGTCTGGTGCCGTTGAGCCGGGGAGGAAGGGGCCACCTCGCTGCTCGGGGTGAGAGGCTTCCTGAGTAATCTGGGTGCTGTATTTTATGGAACTAAAGATATATATTTTTTTTTAAACGTCTAAGCTTTCATGGTCTAACAGAGCCTGACAGACACTGTGTGTGTGCGTACAATCCACACCCTGAAAGGATCAACATCACCTATTAAAATTCGTGTTTGTAAAAAAGGTCACGTCTCTCACATGCTATGTTTATAGTATCCGGTTACTATTATTATTATTACTATATGGGTGGAATCATCCAACCAGCAAAGTATAGAGGCGACATTTGCAGAAACAGCAATACTCCTTTGAAATGAAGAAATTCACAATATCCCAAAAGGAGATCAACGGTGCAAGCTTCACAGCCTGTAGGCGAGTGCTGAACATAGACACAGGTGGCACATGCTAATTAACTGACAAGCAACTCAAAATGCCTCAAACCTGATCATTATATTCCAACGTCAACGTGCGGGCATCAGCTGTTTTCGTCACCCTGCGTGCACACATTGGCAGGTGGATTGCACCATGCTGTGCCATGCGTAGCTGCTTGCAGCTGGAAGATAGAAATAGGACATAGCCCTATTTCTATTTATTTTCCTCAGTGTAGCATCGCAGCGATGCAGCTAGCCAACCAGGGCCCACACTGAAACAAGAAGGAGGCGATGTTCTTTTCAAAAATCAAGGGAAATCAGTGATGGATGAAATCTTTGGTTTGCGTTTACTGATTCATTTTGCCCAAAAAAAAAAGTCTACACAAAGGGTGAGGTTTGATATACAAGGTACGAGATTGTAGCACAACCCGATGTGAGGACACGGGGATCACTGGGTTATAAAAGGGGTACGAGTGTGTTACAAACCCACAGGGTTGTAATTAGTTTCAAATTAGATCTTGTTGATTAGATTGTGATGATTAATGAACTGAGAATTACAACTTCTACCACTTAAACTGAATGAGGAACCAAGAGAAGCAAAGGTTTCTATCTCATACTGAACCCTCTGCTGATACAAGCAAAGATATCAGAGGCAAGAAAATATAGAACGGGTTAACCAGCAAAGACAGAATCAACAAATATGCAACCATGACGTCACCGTCAATTGACACCTCTTTCACACCAAAGCAGAAACTGAGCCTGCACAGAGAGCAGCGGGGTTTGGGGGAGACCCACCCACATTCCACAAAGACCTCTGATTGGCTCCTACTTGTTGCCTTTCTTCTGAGGATTTGTTTCGTTCATTTCTGATAAACAAGATTGCTGGAAGGTTGATGGGGTTAATGATTTGAACTTGGCTTTGGAGGTTTTCATAAAAAGGATGGCAGCCTTCTTGTAGAGTGCTCTCGTAATGTAATTATAATGTCCTGATTATGGGAGAAAAATGTTGTGCATGTTGCTATACATGTTGCCTATATGGATGGAATAAAAGTACAGATATGTTGGAAATTTAAACTTTAATGGATGCCATAATTAAACATAATGTTAACCGTAACGTTGATATGGCAAAACTGATCAAGACGACATTATTAAAATGGCAAACCCTACTAATATGGTTGCTGACCCCTGGTCTACATTCTCCTCACAAGATTCAGCAGCACCAGGAATTCCAAATTGGGGAGAGAAAGAGATCTTCAACTGTAGCTTGTGACATGTTAAATAGCTGGCCAGTGTAAACAAATGCTGGCGCTGCTTGGCAACAGCATAAGTACTGACTGTGTGCAAAAGGGCACAAGTTGGCAAGCTGACGGCTTGCTAAAGGCCATATGTGTGTTTGGAGCGAGCGAGACTGCATTTACAATAACGCTCTTTTGTTGGTTTCCGTCTAACAGGAGCTCCAGTCAGGCCCGACCCCATCCACAATCTAAAGTGAGAGGATGTCCTATTTTGCACAGCTATAAATATCAGATACAGTGGGTACGGAAAGTATTCAGACCCCTTTAAATTTTTCACTCTGTTTCATTGCAGCCATTTGCTAAAATCAAAAAAGTTCATTTTATTTCTCATTAATGTACACTCAGCACCCCATCTTGACAGAAAAAAACTTTTTGCAAATTTATTAAAAAAGAAAAACTGACTTTTTTGATTTTAGCAAATGGCTGCAATGCAACAGAGTGAAAAATTTAAAGGGGTCTGAATACTTTCCGTACCCACTGTATGTCAGATATGCTTAGACCAGTAGGGAAACAGGGGGGGAAGTAAAAAAAGAGAACGATAGATGCAGAGGTAGACTGAGCAGAACAATGAGTGACAGAAAAAATTCCACAGTCAATTCCCAGTAGCAGTACCGGCAGCTTGGTTGTGCATTCCAGTGAACACAAGTGATAGTGTTTCAGGTCGGGAAGCTGGTGAGACAAAAAGCAGTAGGCAGCAACAAACTCTGCTTTCTCCGTGGCGAGACATTCTGTAGGGAAGGCCAGAAAGAGTCTTAAAAAGGTAACAAATACCTGCCCACCTTCTCCTAAATCCAGACTGGCAATGGCTAACAGATGGTAGAGATGGGCCTTGCTTTTGTTTTTGTGTTTGCTGTGGGAATACCTTGCATTCATCAATCAAACAAGCTTCAAACCAAAGACAAGAAACTCCGGTTTGTTCCCGACTTGTCCCTCCTTCATTTTCCCGAATTTGTTTGTCTGTTCTTCCCACGAGGCAATTGTCATTAGGAATGTGGAAACGCCACTTGAGCTATTCAGCACCTAAACTCGCACCCAAATTCACTCTATCGCGCTCGCAATGCCAGATAAGTAATCCTCTTAGAGAGAACTTGATATAGCAGAGGTCAAAGGAATGGAAGAAGCATTTAAAAAAGAAAAAGAAATAAATGCCGTTCCTGAAAATAGGAATTAATAGAAAAGAGCGAAATAGTTCCTTTGAAAGAGGCAAACGACAGACTTCAGCTTAGACATGACGTGTTGCACCTTTGTGCAACACGTCATGTCCTGAATATAAAGTAAGATGGAAAGCAAAAGGGAAGCATTCCCTCGTTCGATCAAGCTAAGAGATGGGATACATAACTTGTATCCCGTATATAGAAAAATGACACCATACATAATCTTCTCCAATATGAGCCTAATGCAAAGCTCCGTCCAGAGGGGATACTTGTTGTGAACAAGTCACTGACTGAAAAACTTGTTGAGACTTGACTCTCTCCCCGGTGTTTGTTTAGCTTGCACACTCTGGAGAAAAGGCCTCATTAATCAGGGACGTTACTGTTGTACTGAATTTGCTGTGTGTGTGTGTGTGTGTGTGTGTGTGTGTGTGTGTGTGTGTGTGTGTGTGCACGCGTCTCACCTCCTGTGCGGCCGAGACCAACCTGCACGGCAGGCTGCAGGCTGCCCTCATTGTTGAGCAGGTGAGGCAGGTGGTGGTAGATATTTGGCACCTGGAGAGGCTTCCTACTCGTGAGCTCCTTCAGTAGCTTCTGTGTCTCATCTGAAAGAGTTTAGTAGCGTCCTCTTCTTAGTTTCATTGAAATGATGACAGCAGTGAAATGATGCTGACTTCTAAAGCACCACCTGTTAATGGGCTCTGGTAGGACTGTGATGCCCTTACTAGTAAAACATTGAACTACACATTACAACATTAGCGTCATAACAGAAATTGCCAACTAAACTTTTAGATTGTTATTTGAATAATGAGCAGTACCAAGCAGTGAAATGTTCTTGTGACTGCTGTGTCCACCCAGTGGGCTTGAGGGTGGACTGAGACAGATTTAACAATAAAAGCCTGCGAGTATCCTGCCACTCAGAATCACGGCCATGGAAAAATGTCACTTCACTGAGTCTTCCTCTGCGTTTGTCAGTTACCTGAGAAGTTTATGAGAGCATCTTTGCTGCCGTTCGTCTCGGCTATGGCACGTCTGAACTGCTCAAGGATGTTGTTGAGCTCCGTCGAGCGCTGCAGCGTCCTGTGCTCGGCCACGCGAAGGCGCTCTTTCAAGCCGTGGAACTCCCGCTGGTATGCTACCAGCTTCTCTGTGAGGACAAACAAAAAAACACAGCAGGACGCGTTAGCAGGTGCCACGGAAAACGTTTCCAGAAATTGAAAATAATACAACGGTCTGATAAACAGACCACTTTTAGCGCCACGGTGCAGGGTTCAGCCATGCAGAAAAACACATCTGGACAAAAACAATACGGTAAGTCTATTGGGGGGGGGGGGGGGGAATGTAACATAATGTATCATTATATACATAATGTGTATATTACACCGCCTCATCCAACAAGCAATCAACTGCAGCTTGTATTTCACTATGGAACCACTTAATAGGCAAAGCCGGAATGTCTCAAGTTAAACTAATCAAGGGGGATGAAGACTTTGAATTACACTTAAAAAAAAGCTAATGTAGCAAATAACACCATACAGTAGAGTAGCGACGAAGCCAGAAATCACCCACAGAGCGCTCACTTCTGCCAGGGCTGCACAAAGCACTAAATTAATGTTATTAATGACAGAAAATGTTGAGGTAATCTGAATTTGCGTACAGATTTGGCTCTATATCAAAATACTGGTTATGACAGACAGTCACGTGTACCAGGTTGTCATCATTAAAGTAAGATGTGTTCAAACATGGCATGTTTCACAAAGGAAATGACATTGTGTGTTTTGTTATTTCCTGGATTTGGATCCACACCAAACTAACCACTTCAACTGGGATCCAGTGAGTCCTCTTTTTCAGCTCACATCCTAACCCGACCTTTTTCTGATCAGGTTACCTGGAGCACGTTGAAGTAGAGATTGGATCTGAAGAGTACTTCAAGACAAAGCTGATGAGCGAAGGGTGAGAAGCTCCTTTTTCAATTTCCTGAGCAGAATTTCTAAATTATTACACTTGTGCCAAACCTACAGTACCACATGATGATATCATCGACAATGATGGAGCACTCAGGAGCAGCTATTTATCGGCCACACCAGCTGTGTGGTTTGTTTTTTCAGTTTTTTTTATTGGAATTTACTTTTGAGGTTCCAGGCAGTTTACTGTGAACACGTGAGGAAACCTGCCCTTTGGTGGGCTCTTATCAGGAACGACATATTTAGAGGTTGGTGTTTTAGAAAGTAGAGGCTGTGAAATTCTATGAGAAAGGGGAAATGGCTGTGGTCTGTTGGTAAGCTGAGATCATAAATGTATTAAATACGCTAGATACGCTCGTCTCAGGACGCTTTCATGCAGTCCGTTTGGCTGGTGCGAATCACAGTGAAATTGATTCTTCTGGTTCCTTTTCCATTTAGTCTGGATGAGTTTCGCGGTACACAAATTAAAGCCGACCAAACAAAGACATTATTTGCTGAGGGGCGTTTACGAAGGAGCAGGTGCCAAAAAAAAGAAAAATGGCCACTTTGGCTCAGCATTTATCTGCTGTGCACACAAATCTTTTCTCCTGCAGTTCATCGCAAATGACTTTATAAACGTCACTTTTTTCGTGGTCTGTATTTTCTCTTTGGCCCAGATGTCAAGCAAACATCAGGCTGCTGCAGAAGTCACCAGAGTTCAATCGAAGCGGACTGAATGCTGGCTTGTGAAAACGGCCAACACAAACACTTCAACGAGTAAAACTTTTTGTGTCTTTTTTTTTTTTTTTTTTAAATTGTTGCATTTTTAATTGTCTTTTACCCGACTATTTCATTGCTTTGGTGTTTACGTACTTTGTAACATTTTTTTTAAGACATAAATAATGTTTTTTTTTACAGTATTTATTGATCAGATGATGAGAAATGATTGAAAGCCAAGAAAGCACATGTGTGGTGGTCACTGACACACCTACGAAGCCTTAGTGTCAATGTTAGCGGTACAGTCGTCCACAATTCACAAGGTTAGAGGGAGAGAAGGAACATCTCCGGTGTGCATCTGTGCGTGAGCTCGGAGGGGATGTGGGTTTGGTAGATTTATTGTGCCCTTTTGGAAAACCCCTCACAGCAACAAACCCCAGACTCTCTTTATCTTCCCCTCTCCATCACTCTCTCTCTCTCTCTCTCTGACCGAGCTATTTTCCTGGCCCATCTCCACACAGAACCATGTTGTTCCTCCTAAATGTTGATTTCTAAGACACACAGACAGATGTCACACGGACCAAAGCTCATGAAAAGGGCAGCTTCAAACTAAAACAAAACAAAACAGACTTTCATCTTCCCATCGGGCCTTTGATTGTAGGACTCCAGGCCTGTTGAGATGAAACCACACCTGTAATCCCACTCTGCCCCACAGGAAGAGAAGCAAGAAGCAGATACGGTTTCTATTCAGCTATATGTATCCCCTGCACTATTAGGTGGTGAAACTGGAGGCGTTTTTTGCATATATTGCGTAATATCACATTGTCTTTCAAGGAAATGCCTCTCCCACAGAAACAGAATGAGAGTGGAACAGATATTGAACTGTTAACCACTTCAAGAGAAGACTGAGAATGTTGTTGACACCTCAGTATGGGCCGTAAAGTGTGTCACCTTCTCAGCTAAGCCGGCAGTGAAGGCGGTCACTTTTCTTTTTTTGCAAATCAAGTGGTATCAACATAAAGTGTATTTTTTTTAATTAAGTAATAGGGCGAATGAGGAACCTACTCTACTGGCATACAGCCACCGGGCAACTGAATGGGTACACGAAATGCATTAAACAATTACCTGAGGTCTGGAGTACATCTATACAATCTCATTATTCTTCTCTGCTCTCTAGAAGCATGAGTTGTGGGGGAAGGGCTAAGTGGCTGTGCTTTACCTCCGAGGCGAGCTTAACAACCTCTCCTCTTTGCCTAACGTCGTCTCATCCCTTCCTCTTAATTTAATGCAGGTTTTCACATTTCTGTGTTTTTTTAGTGTCCTATATGCGTATAACTTTCTATACTATCTGCACAGCCACCCTGGCATCCACCTTTGTTTTTTTCTCTGTACTTATTGCCCCTTCTCTGCAGTGTGAGTGAGTGTGAGGCCTCGAGTCTGTTCCTTTTTAAAGGCTAGTTGTTTGAACCCCCATTATATATCCGACTCCCCATTCCTTCCACGTATCTCATTAATAAATCAAATGGACAGAGCAAAGGAATCAAGGATAACATGTCGAGGCGAATATATCACACACTTCTAGCCATAAGGGAGTTATGCTATTCCTTGTAAAGTCTTTCAACCTGCAAATTTGAGGTTAATGTGTTAATTCTCGTCAACCAAAACTTCAGGTTTGGGTGGAGATGCTCCAATCGTGTAAATGAGCTAAGGCCTTAAATTGGAGCCAAATAATGAAACGTCACTCATGTACAGAGCAGCCATGTCATGACTATTGCGTCACCTCACGAAATGGATGAGGAGAAATAAAATATAAAACTAAAATGAGCCGATCAGCATGGGTTAAATCCCCCAAAAAGGTGTTTTTAAAGAAATCAATTCTAGACATCATGGCATCCATTATGAAAACAATCGATAGGGGCATGTTTGACAAACACTCTTGTAAGCGTTATCCACATGTGCACTGCAACTTGATAGCGCACCTGACAAAGAGCTTGCATGTAATGACTGTATCGGCTTTAAGTTGAAGTTTTAACTTCACATAAAACACATCTGAAGAATGTTTGTTTTTCTCAGGAAAGAGAAACAGATGTTAAGAACAACATATGTTTGTATGTTCATTAACAGACTAGGCTGCATCATAAATACATGGGATCCGTACATAAAAAAATGTAGCCCTCCTTTGTAAACAATGTTTAAATGCACGTATTGATCCACAGTCACAACATCCTTGTTGTTGGACCTGTTGTGCTTACTCGTGACCTCAGTAGTAGTGTTTCAGTATCTGAAGTTGGATGTCAGAGAGAGAGAGAGAGAGATCAATCTACCGTCTTCTGAACGTCACAGGAGAGAACAAGGATGACGTCGGCGTGCTTCATAGAATTCCAAGCCATAACTCACCAGGGTGTTAAGAGTTTTATCAGTCAATCCATTAGCTCAACAAAAGCCCTCCCAGTGATCTTGTCCTTGACCTGGCGCTCCCTATGCTGATGCATGCTGCTGACTGCAGGTCCGTGAGTGCTGATGAAGAACTTGTGCATGAGTGAGTTGCGGCACATCGTTCGCAGATGTCGGCTGGTGAAGCAAAGTTTCACTTTGAAATACACAGCTGCCCAAATATTGTCAGCGAGTATTAACCAGGAAGTACATGCAGTGTATGGCGGCCAATGAGCAGAGCTGAAAAAAACTGTTTACTTTGTAAACTTTACAGTTTGTCTACTTAATTTGCTGAATCCTGGTCTGTTGTATTCAAAGCATTTAGATTTTAGTAGTAGTGTAGTTTGTTTAAACACAAACGGTTTCACTGGGATTGTTATGAATAAAGGGTTATTGTTGCGTTTTCAGATATTTTTTTTTAGCATAAACAAATTCCACTCATCCCGGAGTCTCTGCTTGTTGCCGGACAACTCGTCCAGACCAAGAAATAGCCAGGCACATAAATCCCAATAAAATAGCGATTCAACATTTTTACACTTTAGTTTTTGTACAGATCAAAACAAGATACAACGTGTGAGTGAGCTCAAGATATTTGTTTGGTGGATTTTCGTTACATTTGCACAGAGCTAGGCTAGCTGTGCGACTCAATCTCGTCTTCCAACTCTCTGCAAGAAAGCGAATAAGCTCTCTCCCAAACTGCTGCACTATTCCATTAAACTGTGGATTCTGCCTGCCAAGTGTCTTGACCTCAGGGCCAGAAGTTCCATTTGGATAAATAAATGTTCCCCCTAATTTCTCTGTGTAAAATCAGCAACCTTAACGAAATGTAAAAGTCCTTGAACTTTGTTTGTGTAGCTGAAAAGATGCCACGTCATTGAGCCTTTTCTTATTGGACTTGCGGCTACAGATTCCACCTGCCAGACAAACTCTGGGAACAAGACGCACGTGTATACAAAACATGTCCACAGCATTATGCATGTATGAACACCCCAGAGTGGTGCACCTGCTAGCCACGTGGTTCTACGCTGCAGCTGCAATGTGCAGCACAAGGCCT